AAAAGAGCTAAACCATTCTTTTGATTGGGACAATGCAAAAATTTTAGTTACAGAACTCAATTTTCACAAAAAGCTCATCTCAAAGATGATACACATTAAAGAACAAAAGAATAGGATTAATGCAAATAATGACATAGAGTTATTGGATGGTTCATATTACATTGTTTTTTGTGCGACCCACATAATTTCCTCTTATTTGCTTTAACGTTTTCACTCAGTCGCTCTTTCGCACTCGACTTGTACATCTGCGATCGAAAGCATTAAACATTGAATTTAGTTCTGTGTCTTATATAAATAAATTATTTAAAAAAATTATTTGACAAATTTTTTTATTGTATATCAAAGTATTGTTTGATTTTGAATATTGCTTTAGCTGATATGTGGCTTTCTACTTTTCGGTTATATGCATTAATGCCGATTTGGTGACAGCTGCGCGCGCTAATAACGACTTCATAATAATTATACAGGCATGCTATTGAGCGTTTGTGGTCTAGCTTTGAAATTCGATGATGAAGTTATACTGTAACGCGAGTTTGGTGGATTCGTTTCGGGACAAGATTGATATCGCGTGCCTTTCGAGAGAAACCGGATATATATTCCCTTGCTTTGAAACGTGCACTCTACCTCGAATCTCCATGCTAAAGACTGGTACTGGCACATACATCTTACATCAAGCTGTCGTGCGGTTATTTGCTAATAGTTATATCTCTTTAGGTAAACAAGATTTATTAAGGTTTACGTTATCGAAATACATTTCCTTGATTTTGCACAACCTTGATAATAGATAATATTTAAGCCAGCTAAACTTTTTCTTTAAATTGATTGTTGTCGATATACAAATTTTTATTTATCATTAAGTTTTTGTTTTTATGAAAATTATTGCAAGTAAAATATAATGTTAATTGTTGCTATGTATACTTGTAACTATTGCACACTTCGAAAATGGCATAATCTTCTTCTACGAGGAAGATAATTAGTTTTTCCACAACGATTCCGCAAAAGAGTTTTCTTTCTTATGAAAAATTCCGTTTTTTCGATCAACGGAGAAATCATTACAACGCGGCAACGCGGAAAAGTGATAGAGATTTTTCTCGTGAAGCATGGTCGATAAAAGTTGTACGTGATTCCAGTCCGTTTCCGAATTTCAGGAAAGCTCCGCGAGAGTGGACAAAAAGCGTTTTCATTTTGCTTTTAGTGACAAATCTACCGACCAAACGATTAAGGCTTTGATCGAAAAAGGAAAACTAATCAAGAAAATACTCATCTTTCAATAATAATATAGAATGCATAATAACATATCTCACATATTTTTCAAAATTAATGTATATTGCATATAGCTTTAAAAATGTATCGGATAAATCGGAAAGTTTCAA